TGCAATTATTAACTACACTAATCAGAAATAACAATATGCGTGTCTTTGCTCTAATTCAGTGTATCGCGACTGTCGCAGGTATGCCATTACAAGCAAAGTTCTCATTTGAGAAGTCTATGTGTTATGCCTATTTATGAATATTTTCAAATTACTAAAAAAATTAATATCTTGTACATTTTCTTCTAGCAATGACCAGTCCCTCTAGGATATTGGGTGGGACTGTCACCTCCATAGAGCAATACCCCAGTATGGTTGTAATTTTGTTCGTATTTGAGTGGAATCACGTTGCTCACATTTGTGGCGGCAGTCTCCTTAACAACCGGTCCGTCCTCACCGCCGCTCACTGTGTATTGTAAGTGGCTATGTACATCCTCATGTATATAATGTCAAAACATTAAATACTAATTAATCGTGTAATTAAAATAAAATGTTTCCATTTTAAGTGACGCATCCGTCAGCAAGTATCGAATTCGAGTGGGGTCCACGTGGTCGAATAGCGGTGGTGTCGTTCATAACATTAATGGCATCTTCCTGTATGATACACTGGACTACCCACCCATGATCATACATGATATCGGTGTCATACGCTCTGCCACTAACATAGAGTACAGCGACTACACTCGCCCCGCTCCCATCGCTGGCACTACATACGTTGTTCCCGATAACGATTACATTTGGGCTGCTGGATGGGGTGGGCCTGATGTGAGTATATTATTTTGACAAAACAAAATTTCCGTGAGTCATACTCAATTAATTATTACGTTTTCGGCTTACTAACGTAATCATATTCGTTAGCAGCATTCCGCGAATCGCGACGCGGTGACTGTCACGGAATGCTGCTAATGAAAATGAGCCTTTAGCATAGCTTGAAACTAGTCGAGTTCCTCGTCAAACAGTTACATGAAGAAGCCGAAAACATAACAATTAAAATAAAATTCCTTCTAAACAATAAAATAAATCTGTATTTTTTTTTTCTTTTTTTAAGCCTGAGGATGAGTCTGAACTGGGGCAGCTGCGTCATGTCAAATTTGAGAAAGTAAATTTAGACGTCTGCAAAAAACTATTCCAGGCTGCCAATTACGTGCTTCCTGCTGATTATATGATCTGTGTTGGCTGGCCTACTGGGGATCGCAGTCAGTACAGCGGGGAATCCGGCAGTCCTATTTTCCATAATGGAGTCGTTGTTGGTGTCTGCTCTGCTGTTGTCTTGGGTCTACCCAGCGTTAACATACGTGTGGCCAATTTCACCAATTGGATTGTAGAACACTCATAAAATGTTCTTTATTCTTAACTGTTTCTTTTA